AATTTTCTCAAATTTCACCAGGATACAGATTAGCAAATATAATACAGTTTACCAGTCATTAAACACAGTAGATTAACATCCAAATTTCTTCAGCATTTCTCCAATCCCGTGGTTAGCAAAGTTCAGGTTCACTTCTGTCAGAATTCAAATTTTTGTGGATCGTGAGAGTGCATGAAGCCGTCCGGTCTAAGCCCCTGGTAATTGGCCAATTCTATAGAGTTAATAAAACAGATTGATAATACAGTTGGTTCTTTTCTTAGTTTAAATTACTTAGCATCTAATTCACTACATTTACTTTTAGTTATATACTTTTTACTTTTTACTATTTACTTTTTACTATTTGAATTCATGACAACACTGGAGGCCATGACCGGAAGCATGGTTATTACAAAAAGTACGGATCAGATTAAACTTATAAAAATATAAGGAAACATTTTGGAACATGGACAGTCAATTCAATAGTCTCTTGCAGAACACCAGTTCTCGTCCGATAACTGAAGTTAAGCAACGTCGGGCTCGGTTAGTACTTGGATGGGTGACCGCCTGGGAACACCGAGTGCTGTAGACTCCCTTTTGCGCTGTAGACTCCATTTTGCTGGTATTTTCCCCTGTTTTGCGAGAAAGACCCGCCAGAAAAATTTCTATATAATGTCTACGGCCATACCACGTTGAAAGCATCAGTTGACTTCCGGTTTGGTTTTCATAGGAGAAAGACGTGTGTTGAATTCTCTATGTAAATCCGTTTGAATCCGTGAAATTCTTTTGAGGTTGGATACTCATATTATCTTTTGTGTATTTTGGATGACTTTCTGAACTATTTAAGGATATTATTTATTGGATATTATAGTGTATAAGTGATTTTTGGGCCTTTTGGCCCGGCTGCCTCAGCCGTGGACGGTGGACAGTTATCGTCAAGATGGCGGACGTTGACCTGTTGATTAAAAACAACACGGTGAAAGTGTTTGTTCACGATACTCGAAAATATCTTGCAAAGGAGATAATTGACTTAGTGGAGGAGAAACTTGGTGAGGATAGTGTACTGGCTTGTGTTCCTTGTAACGGTTCATATGATGTTACTCTTGTGCATAAGGATGTTGCATATAAATTGGTGGAGGACGGATTAATGGCAGACTGTAAAGAAGGTATGCATTGTAAATTTGTTGATTCGAGAATCAAGGTTGTTTCATTCATGCATATTCCTGTTTACATAAAGGATGAAGATATTTTGAAAAAATTGAAATCATGGGGTGTAAAAGTGGCCGGGCCTTTGATAAGGAAAACCGTTGATTTCAAAGGGAAAAAGAAATATGATGGCACCAGATATTTAAAGGTAGAGTTTCCTCCTAACGTTGCCAGTTTGCCATATGCTACTAATTTCGAAGGACTTTCATATTCAATCAGACATAATGAGCAAGAGAAAGTATGCTTTAACTGTTTACAACCTGGTCATATTTTGTCTCAATGCCCAG